CTGAACTCAACAGAAAAACTAACTCCTCTAAGAACTCATCTAATCCTTTTGCTGGAACATGAAATATGTGTTCCAATTTCAACAATATTACTGCTAATTTCCGTTCAATTAGTTCTGGCTGATTTTCAACAGCACTATTATCACATTCTGTCACTGACTCACTTTCAAATTCACCATAGGATACATCTGCAGAACAGGTAGCCCTTACGTTATCAGAGGACTCTATCACTTGAACTGGGTCCACACATGTAACTACACTGCCTTTAAAATCTTTAAGTGTGTGTGGATGATGCTTCCTCTTTTTGTGTGTATAAAATGTATTGTAAATATTTGTCTTGAAAGGGCAACCAAGAAACACACAACTAACTGTCTCGTTACTTCGCAGATGTGTTCCAATATGGACAAAAAAATCTCTCTCAGAGAAGATGTCACTGCAGTCACATAACTCACATTTAAAAGTTACTGAACTTGAAGCTGTCTGTGTAAACTGAGATGAATGAGCTTTATAGACATGAGTGTTCAGTCCACTCCAAGTCTTAAATGTGCACGGACAATTAACATATATGCACAGATAATGTTGACCTATTCCGTAATGATGATGTAGTTTATAATGTTGAAGTAATTTGTACCTACTGCTCTCTCTGGTAACACAATGTTTGCACTGCCACATACACGTCACTGATAAAAAATGAAATATGCATTAGAAAATGTCAAGGAGATTAAACTTCTGCATGATCCAAAAAAACCAAACAAAAACAGAATAATAATAATATGGCAAACATGAACTTACCATGTATTGTTGAGGAGGTGCATAAGAATCTCAGAGCATGGGAATGTGGCTCTATTTTGTGATGTATTTCTGGGGAGAGAAATTAATTAAAATAAAGTTATTACTCTGACAAATTTGGGTTAATATCTACAGACTGTTACGGTGTGTACACACCGAACGCGATAGACACGACCAGAGCTTCAGGTTTACATGTAAAGTCAATGGAGGTCCAGCTAAACTTCGGAAGCAGATTTGCGTCCCGAAAACACTTTTCTGCCTGATTCACACGACTGAAGCTTTTGAAGCGCAAAGTAAAATACGCGCTGCAGTTTGTGTGGTGCATTTTGTGCATTCGCGCTTATCATGTCTACCGCTCACGCTGGTAAAATCTGCGACCTGGACCTGATGGACCCAGGTGCGGTGAGGACATCCTTTACGCACTGCTCTGCTCTCCACAGCAAATAGAGAAGGGAGACTCTTTCTTCAAACGCTAGATCGACAGCTGCCATTTTAATAACATACCATCTGGCACTACTTCCTCCCAGATCTCTGCTTCATGCGCGTGAAAATTGCATATTTTAAAGCGCGACCAGTTCGCGCTGGACGCGCTTCGAGGTGCGAATGTGCACACGATCAGCTAGGGGTGTCTATCCCGTTCAGTCAGCCTTAATGCAGAGCACCAGAGAAACTATAACCCGAACAATTATCCACGTAAATCATTCTGAATTCAAAAACTAAGTGAATATATTACAAAAAAAGAAAATGCACATGCAATTATTGTGACAGATTTTATTTTACTCCTTGTTATTAACTCCCCTAAACGCTGGTTTAGTTGAATTAAATCTTTCATCAATCCAGTTAATGCGGTTGCCCGCCACTAAACTCCACTGACAAAAACAGGAATTTTAGATGGAGCATCATAAAACACTCATAAAATCACCAAAACCATGTCAGTCAGTCTTACCACTGCTACCAACAATCACGAACTCCGGTTAAGCGGAAAGTAACCCGTCATTCACGGAGCTATACGCGAAGACATTACGGCTCTACGCGGCTTTCCCGCTCTTCAAAGTTAGCTAACTCCAGAGAAAAAAAACAGTCCTAACCACGCAGATAACCATGAAACACACCTCATTCAAAGTCGACAGAAACAAAAAAACCGAACTTACCAAAATAGCCTCATCAGTTATTGCTCTGTTGCAACAATTAGCGACTCCGGTTAAGTAAAAAAAATAAATAAATCAAATTCACCGACTTACATTTGAAAAATGTTTGCTACACTCCCTGCTACATATAAAGCTCCTCTAAGTCACCACACTACACAGGTAAAAAAAATTTAACTACTAGTATTTATCTCTCACGCCAATAACCTAAATAAATATATCAAGAAATATGTGAATTACTTACCTCACTATCAGGTATGCCAAAGAAGTAACTCCACGTGCTCGTTAACGTCTCAACGGACCTTTCCGCATCCGGTGGGCGTGGCGCATGCGCAATACATGACGCTATCAGAGCCGTTGGTTTGATGGACCTCATTCTCATTGGATTGCCATGAACGAATTTAACTCATCAAAGTTTTCTTTGATTCATATTCAACAAAAAAGAATGAATCATTTAATGAGCATAAAAATGATTTCTTCATGTAATGTAAACATATTACTACTTTGTTAATCAAACACATGCCCTAGTTGATTTTTTTGAGTGT